AGCAACAACAGCAGAAATGGTTCCAAAAGTAAAGAAGGTTCGAAAAGAACAAAAAAGGCTTGTGAGCTGAACATATCGCAATATTCCATTCGGCAAATATTTAAAAATGAGCTCGGGGTAAAGCCATTGAAATTCCAAAAAGTGCAAGAACTTACACCGCAAGAGAAAGAAAATAGACTCAAAAGAGCTAAAGAGTTGCTTCCCTTGGCCGAAAGTGGTGAACTGCCGAATTTGGTTTTCTCCGATGAGAAAACATTCGTTGTCCAGAAGTTTGTAAACAAACAAAATGATCGTGTTTACTTGCCAAAGAGGTCAGCTGAACTCAAGCACCGGCCATAGTGATGGTATGGGCCGCCATAACAACCGATGGTCGCTCTCCGCTCGTATTAATCGACCGTGGCATCAGAATAAATGCCGAATATTATCACGAAAATATTCTGAAGGGTGTATTAAAGCCTTGGGCCCGCAAACATTTTGGCCGCAGACCTTGGACATTCCATCAGGACTCAGCACCATCGCCCTCAGCACGCGTTACCCAAGAATGGTTACGAAATGAGGTCCCTCGCCACCAAAATCTCCGGATACCAATCCGTTGGACTATTGTGTCTGAAGTATTTTGGAAAGCAAGGTTGGCACTAATAAATACCACAGTGTCGATCACCTCAAGCAAGCGCTTCGCCTGGAATGGACTAAAATACTGCAGAGCAACATTCGGGCAGCGTGTGATGGTTTCATTGGCCGTTTGAAGACTGTAATTCGTGCCAAAGGTGACCAATTCGAACAAATCTAAACTTATTCTAAAATTTGATGCTATTTCCGACATTTTTTGTTTTCATTCAATAAAATTAAAAAAAAAAAAAATGTAAAAATTATGGCGTTTGACTTTGTTGCAGTTTTTATACCCTCCACCTTGGAAATGACGGTATATTAACTTTGTCATTCCGTTTGTAATATTGCTAAATATTCGTCGTAGACACCATAATGTATATATATTCATAATCAGCATAAAATTCTAAGACTATATAACGATGTCCGTCTGTCTGTCTGTTGAAATCACGATACAGCCCACATTATTTGACGTAGAGCGTCAAAATTTAGCAGAATAATTTGTACTGTGTCTAGGATGGTTGGTATTGAAAATATAACGGTACATCCCGATATTCGGTATTTTGATGATTTTTGCCACACTTTTTCAAGGATTTGTCTGAAAATTGGTATTTGTAGGTCATAATGGGTACTAGTTCGTGCGGCAAAACATTGAACATTTTGATGATTTTTGCCACATTATTTCATGGATTTGTCTGAAAATTGGTATTTGTAGGTCATAATGGGTTCTAGCTCCGGTGGCGAAACTTTGCATGTATAGGTTCACGTTTTGGTATAGCTCCCATATAACGGTACCTCCCGATTTTCAGTATTTTGACGATTTTTACCACATGTTTTCACGGATTTGTCTGAAAATTGGTATTTGTAGGTCATAATGGGTCCTAGTTCGTGCGCCGAAACATTTTATGTATAGATCCACGCCACGGAGGCTATACCTCCATATAACGGTATATTCCGATATTCGGTATTTTGATGGGTTTTTGTCACATTTTATCACGGATTTGTCTAAAAATTGGAATTTGTTGGTCATAATGAATTCTAGTGTTTCCATTACACTAAGGTGGAGGGTATTAAAAGTTTTTATCTCACCCTGTATATACTTGATAGGCGTACAATTTAAGTCTGTCTGTCTGTTGTTATTTTGACGCAGAGCTTCAAAATTCGGCAAAACAATTTGTAATGTGTCTAGGATTGTTGGTATTGAAAATGATATACATCGGTCCATATACCGATTGTCCCACATTTTTCCACGGATTTGTCTTAAAATTGGTATTGGTCATAATGGGTTGTAGCTACGGTGGCGAAACATTGAATATTTAGGTCCACGTTTTTGTATAGCCCCCATATAACGGAAATTCCTGATATTCGGTATTTTGATGATTTTTGCCACTTTTTTCCTCGGATTGGTCTAAAAATTCGTATTTGTAGGTCATAATAGGTTCTAGCTTCGGTGGCAGAACATTGAACATTTAGGTCCACGTTTTCCTATAGCACAGGCATAATGATACCCCCCGATATTCTGTATTTTGATAAGCCGGGTCATATTTAGCCACAAAATTGTTTGGTATTTAAGAAGATTTGGTACATGACAATCCTTGTCTATAGAGGCTCCTATTTTGGTATGGCGCCTATATAAGGGCCTTAGCCACTTTTTTGTTTTTTTTTTTTTTGAAAGTTTAACAGCATTATCCAAACGGTCCTACTGGTATTTGGAGTTTAAAGTGCAACACATTTGAATTCAGATACTTTTATATAAAAATGTTTTTTTTTTGTTTTACCCAATGGTGGAGAGTATTAAAAGTTCGGCCAGGTCGAACTTAATGTTTTTTATACCCTACCCCACATAGTGGTAAGGGTATTATGCCTTTGTGCATTTGCTTGTAACATGGAGAAGGAAACGAGATAGACCCATAGTTCCTTTTGGTGATCAGCATGTCCATGTATTTTTGTAAACAAAATGAAGGTCGCATTTATTTTTCGATTGAGTTGAAATTTTCTAAATAACATTTGTTTGACTCAAGGACGAACCCTATTGAAATTGGTGAAAATCGGTCCAAATTTAGATATAGCTCCCATATATATCTTCATCCGATTTAAGGTTTCTTGTGCACCAAATAGTTAATATCAGTCCAAATGGTGTGAATTTTTCTACATCCGACCGAATTCAGCCTACAAGCATGTGCTTCAAATTTGGTGAAAATCGGTTCAGATATAGCCATAGCTCCCATATATATGTTTCATCCGATTTTGGTGTTTAAGTCCCTTACATTCGTTATATGCACTCCACAAGACTGATATTTAGCACCAGATATCAGTTACAGTCTAGAAATTCATAGATCGAATTTTATCAAGTTCGGTTCAGATTTGGATATAGCTCCCATATATATCTTCATCAGATTTAAGGTTTCTTGTGCACCAAATGGCTAATTTCAGCCCAAAGTGAGTGAAATGTTGCACTGCCAAGCGAATTCATTCAAGAAGTTAATGCTTAAAATTTAGTGAAAATAGCTTCAGATATAGCTATAGCTCCCATATATATTGTTACGAATATAACTTTAGATTTAAGTTAATTTAGATGAATTCCGTTAATTTAAGAATTTGAATTGTAACGTAAATTTCTACTACGCAGTTTATTTGAATAACTTCACAACAACATCTACTGTATAGATTTTTCTACATCCTTCCATTTCCTCTTTCATTGTCTATTTTGTTGCTGACGTACAATTCTTGTTAAACGTCATCATTGATGATCGCTTAATTCCTCTTTCTTTGTTACCCCCTCGCCTGTATATGTGTTGTTGTTATTGTTCAATGTAAGTTTGTATGTGTTGTTGTTATTGTTCACTCAATGTAAGTTTGTATGTGTTTGTTGCATTGGTAGATTGTTCGTAATCTAGGCGTTACCAGATCGTCTAGAAACTTCTGTAGCGACAGGCGAGGCTCATATAAATAGGGGAAATGGAAAGGCAGTTAGTTAGTTGTGAATCAGATCGCGAATTGAAACCGTCGAGTAAAGTAAAGTGCAAAGTAAAGTTGTGTGAATAAAATCATTGTAATAATCGTAATCCGAAAGAACCCGCGTTTTATTTGGTACGAGCTGTATTGGGAAATAAAACAACGTCTACACGGGATTAAGTAAAATCCAAGAACGTAACAATATGTTTCATCCGATTTTGGTGTTTAAGTCCCTTACATTCGTAATATATACCCCATAAAAATGATATTTGGTACCAGATATTAAATTCAGCCTAGCAATACATGATTCAAATTTTATCAAGCTCGCATCAGATTTGGATATAACTTCCGATTTTAGGTTTCTTGTGCACCAAATAGCTAATTTCACCCCAAAATGAGTGAAAAGTTGCACTTCCGAGTGAATTCAGTTCAATTAAACTTGGTGAAAATCGGTTCAGATATAGCTCTATCTCCATGTATATGTTTTTCCCGATTTGGTGTTTAAATCTCCAACTTTCGGAATATGCCCTCAACCATAATCATTTTTTGTACCAGATATCTCATAGAGAAATGCCCAACATAAACCTTTCTTTTACGAGAGCTCTAATATGCTTAGTGGTGTAGGGTATCAAATAGTCGGCCCTGCTGGACTTTTGAGCTTTCCTTACTGGTTTTTACTTGTTAAATGTTATTTCTGATATAGCATTATTTTAATAAAATTCGTTTAAGTCTGACCAGCTTTAATTTTTGAGTGTAATTCAAATGGAGGTCTTTCGGGTTTTTTGCCACCCACACTTGCACAATTTATAATCTGCAAATATAAGTTGTTGACCATGACTGATTTAGCCCATAATTTATACATTGCAATAAAAGCAAAATAAGATGGAACCGTATGCAAAGGCTGTTTATACATCGGTAAACCGAATGACACTTTGAAATACTTAATAATCCTTTTTTTTTGCAAATTAACCCAAATTAGTTGCGTTATATTAAAGTTCCGATTAAAATAAGGGGTTTCGAGCCCATGTATCTTTAGACGATATTCGGAGTCGAACAATCCGTGTTCATCTGTCGCTTCGCCTGTATGATTTTTTTCACATTTTACCCATCACAGATCGATTAATCTGAGATCGAATTCGAAGATGGCCAATATCGGACCACTCCTTCTGGTAAATATATGCAAAAAAAACTCTTATATATTTCATACTCTCATGAAGTCAAGGTAAAAATCACCACAAACCACAAACATCCGAAATTAATGTATATAGTCCGAAATAGTCCAAAACTTTCATAGACTGAGAGTTTTACAGCTGTCGACGAAATGGGACCGACATATTTTTTTAACGCTGCTACTATCTTGTTAACTAAAGAGTCTCGTCAATCTCAAATTTTCGATTTTTCCTCAGCCAGCATTTGTATGCTGTTGTTTTTACACGCACCTGCTCCAGACGAGTTCGATTGCGGTTTATTCTTGTGATTTCTTCTGCACCATCCTTCCGGTTCTTCAGCCCGTGTCAGTGCAGGAAATGTTGGTACAGCAGACTGTGGTGGGTAGTTGGGAATTTCGTCTTTTTTCGATGAAGTAGTCCACATCATATGTTTTTTTTTTTTTTGTTTCGCTTCTCTTATTTTTATTGCATAGTATTTCTCGTTACGAAGAGTATCGACTCGCTACACCGTGTCGCAACAACGCTTGAATTATAACTGATTAAATTCGAGGTATTGTTGTTGCGTTGACAAGCAATTATTTCATTGTTCGAATGTGTCAGTCATTTCGGTTTGTTATCGTCCAATAAATAAATGTAGATATGTACATGGATTCTTATCACATGGTAAAATTATTAATGCATCCATCATAAACAAAAACACACACATACTCGTCCATACATATTCATACGGATATCTTAAAATAGCCGAGTGAGTTACAAATTTGTTGGGGTCAGTCTCCGCGAAATTTAGATGCTCTGCATCTCCACGTAATCGTTGAGAGCAAACTAAGGCCATTTTATATTTTACCAAAAAATATTTTTCAAATAATGAGGGTACGCCTCCAGTACAAATTGGCCCAATACAGGTACTTCCTTAACCCCATAACATCGCCGCTTATTTTTTTGCGTTTTTTGAAGGGTGTTAAATTAATTTGTTTACCGCCGTAACAAAAGTCTATATTTATATATTCTAGCTCCCTATAAACAAAATATCTCTCCCTAACCCATGCATGACGAAATAATCTCACTAACCTATGCATGACGAAATAATCGGTGGCGTGCTTGATCTTTTTTTGGCTGACCATGCTCCGATTCAGGGTCTGCTAAACGATTCGCGTAAGTGACGAAGTTTTTCGCATATTCACACACATACACACGCGGTTCGAATGCACACGATAAGCATAACAAACATAACAAAGAGGGGAAATGTTTTGATTTTTGTATTAAATCGATTTGAGTGATTTGAAAATAGATCAGTATGTGGCTTTGTCTCTCTTGTTGAGCTGGAGATGTGGTGTTCGTAGGAATGACAATTTTCAAAAAAAAAAAAAAAAATACAGTAAAGAAAGTCTTAAAGTCGGACGGGGCCTGTTACAAAGAAATGCACAAAGACATAATACCCTGACTACCTTGTGGTATAGGGTATAAAAAGGGAAGTTGTGCTGAATTATGCTAGGTTTGTGCTCAATTGTGCCATTATTTTTTGAAATTCGAAAAAATTTCTGAGATATTCGAAAAAAGATTTTTTTCGAAGAAATCTGAGAGAATTGCAATTTTCGAATTTCGAAAAAATTACAGTTATGCTGAATTGCACTCGGTTTGTGCCGTTTAAATTTTTTCGATATCTTTTACCAATTTCAAAAAAAAGGACAATTTCGAAAGTATGCCAGAATTGTAATTTTCGAATTTCGAAAAATTAAGAGTTGTGATGGGTTGTGCTTGATTTGTGATAACTTGTGCCCCTTATTTTTTCTCCATTGCTTTAACCGTTTTCAAAATATGAAAATTTCGAAAAAAAACTGAATTTTTCAGAAAAATTGCTATAATTTTTGTAAATCAATCAACAGACGGCGGACATGACTAAATCGACAAGGCATTTTATGCCGATCAAGAATATGTATGTAATCTTCACATCAGTTCTTGTGTTACTAAAAATATTGCGAAATTTGAAGACAATCGTTTTCTTATTTCACATTCTATAAGAGTTATAATTTTCGCAAATATTGTATATATAAATACGAATAGGGTCTAAAGGGGATATTTAAACGAGTTACAAATTTAATATACCCTCCATGGTATGGTGGGGGTATAAGAATTTAATTCCACAATAATTTTGAAGTGCTCATTATGTGTTCAACGTTTGCTAAAGTTAGAGATCTTCGAATATGAAAAACCCCTAGGTGAAGAGTACAAGTCAATTTGTTGATCCACCCAAAAAAAAAGAAAAACTTGGACAATAAATTTTCTGTTTAAGTATTTCCCATGTAAATATATTTGCCACATTTTGTTGGTTTAAGAAAATAAAGCCATTTCACACTTCATCGTCTGCCCGCCCGCCCGCCTGCCTTCCCTATGCTTGTGGCAATCCACATATCTTGTTGAAATATCCAAATACTGCATTGCAGTATTTAAGTCGCATACAAACAAAGACATATCGTCCTAAGCGATGTCAAAGTTTGAAACGCCTACAAACATTAATTCCACAAAATAGCTAGAAGTAGTTGTATCCAAAAACGCCTTTGAATGTTAAGCACCCACCAATGAAACACAAAAGGAAATTTGTTGTTCACTTGCAAAAATTTGCAGTGTAAACAAAAGAAGTGCAAATGTTGTGGCTGTGTTTCAATACATACATACGATGTACATAGGTACATATGAAATGTACAAGTATCCATTAAATATTGTGGGTATTATGTCTTAATGTAAACTCAGGAAAATAACTTCAATTTATGGGGTATACATAAATTGAAGTTATTTTCCTGAAATAGCATGGAGGGTATATTCATTATATCCCAACACAAGATGGAAACTATATTGACTATGTCATTCCGATTGCAACACCTCGAAATATTCGTTGGAGACGCAACATGTTATTTATTCATCAATTCTAAACCAGATTAACAATGTCCACCAGTCTTTGAATATAAATAAATGCATTTTGGCATAAATGTTTAAACTATTTCCAAGATGTTTAGTATTTAAAATAGGCTATATCGGTATTTTCAATCAGCTATAATTTAATAATTATACCCTACACCACATAGAGGTAAGGGTATTATGTCTTTGTACATTTGTTTGTAACATGGAGAAAGAAACGAGATAGACCCATAGTTCCTTTTGGTGATCAGCATTGAATCACATTTTGAGACGATTTATGCATGTCCGTCCGTCTGTCCATGTATTTTTGTAAAAAAATGCAGGTCGGATTTATTATTCGATTGAGTTGAAATTTTCTAAATAACATTTGTTTGGCTCAAGGACGAACCCTATTGAAATTGGTGAAAAGCGGTCCAAATTTATATATAGGTCCCATATATACAGGGTGAGATGAAAAAACCGATTCATCCGATTTTAGGTTTCTTGTGCACCAAATGGCTTATATCAGTCCAAATGGTGCGAATTTGGACACATTCGACTGAATTCAGTCTAGAAGTAAGTACACAAAATTTGGTGAAAATCGGTTCAGATATAGCCATAGCTTCCATGTATATATTTCATCCGATTTGGTTTTTAAGTCCCTCATATGCGTAATATGCATTCGACAACAATGATATATTGTACCAGATATCTTATAGAGCTCGGAAATAACTCTGTCAATTTCTATCAAGATTGCATCAGATATGGATATAGCTGTCATATATATCTTCAACCGATTTCGGGTTAATTGTGCGCCAAATGGCCAATATCAATCCTAATGACCTGAATTTTAGTACATCCGACCGAACTTTTAAAACCCTCCACCATTTTGAAAGATCTTCAAAATTTTCAAAAAATCCGTCGAAAAAGTACCACTTAAATGAAAAATGGGGGCTATACGAAGACGTGGACATGCATAAGTAATTTCATAGGCTGTAGTAGCGAGTCCGAACTTTAAATACAAAATTTGAAACAATTCCGTTGAATAATGTCGCTAATAACATCAAAATATCGATTAAGAGGAGGTACCGTTATATGTGGGCTATACGAAGACGTGGACCTGCATTGACAAATTTCCCTCATAGGTTGTAGTACTCATTACGAGCTTCAAACTTTAAACACGAAATTTGAAACAATACCGATCAATTCTAGTCCAGGGGTAAAGTAAAAAGACCGAATATCGGGAGTACCGTTACATGGGGGACATACGATATCGTGGACCCATAAAGACAATTCTCTTCCTGGGGATAAAGTACTTACAAAGGACTCCTTGCGTAGAATTTCGGATAATACCATTAAAAAATGTGTCTTAAATCATAAAAATACCGAATATGGACAAAATTATAAGAAAATCGAACTTTTATGTCCAATTTTATTCGAAATCATAAATTTCCACAAAATCAGGTTTCTGGTTGAGAGAAATATTTCAATATAGAAGGTTGTAAAGAATCGCTGACTTGTTTCCCAAGTTATGACAGATAAAAGCATTGCAAATTTTTTGTGGAGTACCAGAAGGGATTCGCAGATATATAACATCTTTACAACAGATCTTGTGTTAGCAAAAATGTTTGTATGTATGAAATTTGAAGAGATTTGGATGCTTATTTCGCTTTCGTTGGGCGTTTTCTTCTTTAAAACATTAATCCTTTGTGGGGGAAGTACCAGAAGAAATGGTCCGATCTCTACCATTTTGTCTTGATGGAAATATTAATAAGTGCCACGTTTGAAAAGAATCGGATGCTCATTTCGCCCTTTATGAGCGTCTTGGTTATTCAAAATGTTGACCCGTTGTGGGGGAGGTACCGGAGGAGTCCAGCGATATATTCCATATTCACCCCAGACCTTGAGTTAATAAAAATATTGTAATGTGTGTAATTTGAAGACAATCCGACTCTTACATCACGTTTTATAAGGGGTACCAGAAGGAGTGAACTGATATCCATCTTCACATCAGATCTTGTGTTAGTAGAAACAAGTAAAAAAGCAGTAAGATCAGCCGGGCCGAACTTTGAATACCCTCCACCATTTGGAACGAAATAGGAAAATTTCAAAAAAATAAAATCTATTAAAAATTCTTTCAAAATCTATAAAATCTATATATATAAAAGAAAGTTGTGTTAGTTACTACGCTTATAACTCAAGAACCGCTGATCTGATATTAACGATTCATACAAATTATGAATTGTCTCTTTTCCGATAAGGATAATATTCAAAAAAATCGCGTAAAAATGTGATATATTAACATTTTCATTTTGACTTTTGAAATGTACAATCGTAATGTTTTAGTTTGAATGTTTTTTTTTTTAAGTGTTTGTTTTCTCTTTCGAGACGAGCTTAATGATCTGAAATTTGCAGTGAAAAGGAAAGCCAGATAGACACTATCACACACTCACCACTATGCGACGCGTTTCGCCGTTGGTTAAGCGGCTCATCAGGCATATTTGATGTGGATGATGGCTTACAAGGGCCGTTCTCTGGAAAGTAGTATATATTTCGAACCTATTGCAAATTAGCATATGCGAATTATACACTAGAAACTCTCCAGGTTCGACTCAAGTTCTATTGGCAGATCTTTTTCACAGCAACGTTT